TATATATATATATATATGTATGTATAAAACATTACTATATATAATCTGTATATGTATTTCAATCAATATAAATTTTTATACACACCTATGTGCTGCCAGTGCCACTGGTATCGCGAGTACTGCCGCACGAGATTCTTTTCCACCAAATCCACCTCCTATGCGCTTTACACGAACATTAACTCTGTTTATGTGTATATTTAAGACATGAGCGATTAATTTCTGTACTTCAGTAGGATGTTGCGTAGAACAAAATACTTCTAATTCATTTTCTTCACGAGGCACGACAATCACAGCATTTGTTTCCAAATAGAAATGTTCTTGACCACCTATATGTACTTCTCCTTCTAAAATATGGTCAGCTTCTGCAAAAGCTTTATCTGCATCGCCTTTAATAATACGCTTAGGAAATCCAGGGAAGAATGATTTATGCGTGATAGCGTCCTAAAAAAAAGTATTGGTACATTTAGATATATGTTATATAGTTGGAAAAATAATTTAAGAAAGAAAAAGTAATCATATTTTGTGAATATATAGGATAGTCCCTAAATTCGCGTTCGCGGAATACAAAACATACTTCAATAAAAACTTCAATAAAGATACTAATACGGCTAATTAAATAAGTACGTAACACTTGAACACTTAAAAATGATGTTTTGTGTAACAGCGGTTAAAATAATAAGAGAACAGGACGATCAAGATCGCAATATTATTTCAAACACTTTATTCATAATTTATTTCGTAACGAACAAAATTGTTACCGTTACATATCATATAATTCTTTATATTGTAATTTACTGAAGACCTAATTAAGATCAAAACATCTAAATTAATGTTATATGCAATAAATTAATTTGCACATAACAATCAGTATTGGCTCTTAAGACGTTTTTAATTTTTAATCTTGATTTATTTTGGACTTAGATAAATTTTAAGTTATTTAACGCATATAATTATTGTATTTTAACTATTATTTTTTCGTATTAGTATAAATACCTCAATAGATATGATAATAGGTTCTAAATCTTCATATTCTATTTTAACCATATTTGCTGCAGCTTGAGCAGTAATTTGATCGGTAGCAACAATCGCACCAATTATTTGGCCTTGGCTGGTAACCTAAAGAAAAAGATTAATAAATTTTTAATTTCCTTCAAGGAATTATCGAAATTATTGTAAGATAGCAAACTTTCTGCCTATCACATAAAATCATAAAGATAAAGTACATCATATTTTCAATTTCTAATTTGTTATAATAATGATTTGTTAATGACACAGTATTATTCATATACTGTAGTATCATTTGGTGTTTGAATTACATTTTAAATTATTGAAACATAGTTGATAGCGAAACATGGCAATTTTGTAACAATATGTGAATAAGGATTCTGTTAACATTATTACAATTTTTCTTTGAGTATGATGTCATTATAATGCTAACTTTTGGTTTCTATGAAGAAAAATATATTTTCTAAAAATGTAGAAATAAAATAATTCCTAAAACGGTCAAGGAATCCATTAAAAGTTGTATTAATAAATGACAAATATTTTTTTTTG